CCACATGCCCGACCCCATGCAAATCATCCACAACCTTCATGTGAAGGCTACACTCAGGAAGACATAACTGGACCCCGCGAAATAAGAACCCATCAGAAAGAGTATAATCCTCAAAAGGACCCGAAGAGAGGCGGGACACCACGGGCCCGAAGAAGACATCAGAAGCATAAAGATCTCGCAGTAAATCAAAGCCGACAACTGAGACGCGCATGTCAGTGAGCAACAAAGAGCGAGTACACAATGCATCCGCCACACGGTTAGAAGCACTCGAGCGATGCCGCAGAATAAAGGTAAATTGCTGCAAATAAGAGGTCCACATGGCGTGGCGGGCGGAAATATTGTCCTGAGAAGAAAGATGGCGCAAAGCCTCATGGTCGGTAAAAGGATAAACTCACGCTGAAAGAGATAGTGGCGCCAATAACGAACAGCACGATACACCGTATAAAACTCAACATCATAAGTGTTGTATCGCAGGCGAGGACCAGAAAACTTCTCACTGAAAAAGGCGACGGGGCGCCCAGTCTTACTAAAAACCGCACCAATGCCCACCTTAGACGCGTCGCATGAAAGCTCGAAAGGGACCGAAAAATCAGGAAGAATCAGAACCGGAGCGGACGTCAGCTTACACTTGATAAAGGCAAAGGTTGTCGCTGCCTCGGGGGTCCACTCGAACGTCTTGCCGTGAAGACAGTCCGTAATTGGGGCAGTAATGGAGCTGAAGTGCGAAATGAAACGACAGTAAAAAGAGGCCAAGCCGTGGAAGCTACGAGTCTCGGTGAATGAGGTTGGCGTGGGCCACTCGCGAATAGCGGCGACCTTACCCTCGTCGACGCGAATGCCATCAGCCGAAATAAAAAAGCCCAAAAAAAGAACCGAGTCGACGACAAAAGAACACTTTCGGGGCGCTGCGAAAAAACACTCAGCCCGTAAAATCTGAAGAACAGAGCGAACAATAGTCGAATGGTCCTCCACAGTCCGACTATAGATAAGAATATTGTCGAAATAAACGACGACACATCTCCCAATAAGGTCTCGCAAAGCCTGGTTCATCACGCGCATGAAAGTACTGGGTGCATTTGACAGACCGAATGGCATCACAAGCCACTCAAAAAGACCCTCACGGATCTTAAAAGCAGTCTTCCATTCGTCGCCCGGCCGGATTCGAATCTGATGATAGCCACTCTGCAGGTCCAGACCGCGGCCCCATGCAACTGCTCCAACAAGTCGTCAAGGCGTGGAATAGGAAATCGGTAACATACCGTGATCTTGTTAATGGCCCGACTATCAACACACATCCTCCACGAACTGTCCTTCTTCGGGATGAGTAAAGCGGGGACAGCACATGGGCTCAAGCTACGGCGAACAACACCACGCTGCAAGAGTTCCTACACCTGACGACGTAACTCCTCATGTTCTGGCGGACTCATCCGATAATGGGGACGGTTCGGCAGAGTGGCACCCGGCACCAAGTCGATCTGATGTTGGATGTCCCGAAGTGGTGGAAGGCCTGAAGGTAGCTCCTCCGGGAAAACATCAGAAAACTCATCAAGGAGCGGCCGGATAATGGACGGAGGGGAACCATCGGTGTCAATGTCAGTCCCCAAAAGTAACAGGACAAATGGCGCCGTCTGCATCTCACACACGAAAGCTGCACGAGAGACAAAAAGAACCGAAGAGGAATTATACGTAGATAAAGAGCGAGGAGGGGAAGGATGGAGTACCAGTCGAACTCCCTCAAATAAAAAACTGTAAGTGTTGAGGCGCCCGTCATAGACCACAGCACGATCATACTGCCAAGGGCGACCCAGTAAGAGATGACACGCGTCCATAGGGACAACATCACACCATGTCGTGTCCCAGAACTTAGGCCCGATAGAAAATTGCACTAACACCCGCCGATCCACAGTAACGGAATTGCCACGTTGTATCCAAGCAAGAGTATAGGGGTGAGGATATGGCTCAATAGACAATTTAAGGCGATCAACAGCCTCCTGAGCAACCACGTTTTCGCACGAACCAGTGTCGATAATGAAACGACACACCTTACCACCCACATTACACGTTGATTCGAAAAGGTTATGGCGCTAAAGAGAGTCCTCAGAAGAAGCCCGAGGTGCGAAACATGCACGTCGGATGACCAAAGCCGGGCCCACATCACCCATCAAATGCTCCTCAAAAGGCTCAGGCTCCTCGTCAAAACTGGTGGGCCCTCGTACGCCAATCCATTGCTACCCTCGAACTCAAAATCCGTGACCAAGGCACGAGACCCGCCCCCTGTCCCCCCCGCCCCGACGAGCCGATTGCCGATGGCCAGCCTCGCCGCAAGAGAAGCAACGCGGGCCAACTCCCGGTCGCGAGCCCTCAGCCGCCTGCGCCGGTCCAAAACCGACAGTCGCGCTCGATCCACCCCCTACCTTCAAACCCGACGACCCTTGTGCGTCGCTCCGACCGAAAGGCTGGCCGCCTACCACCGCAGACCGTGAAGGACCAGCCGCTGAAGACGCCGGCAGAGCCCCACGCGGTTGAAATCCGACCGCAGGCACAGGTCGACCACGTTGTTGCTGCTCGATGAGTAATGCCCGGTGGTGAGCGGCTGAAACACTGTCTAGCGCGAACATGTTCAGCATGTCACGAATGTCGACCCTCAATCCTCCCACATAACGAGATACCAATTGAGCCGGAGTGTCCCGAATTTTAACCCGATTGAGAAGACGATAGAAATCATTGGTGTACTCGTCAACGGACCGAGCACCTTGGCGTAAATTGTGCAATTGCTGATACATGGTACTCACATAATTGAAGGGAAGGAATTCTCTTTCAATGTGTTTCCGTAGTTTGGCCCACGACTTGATTTTGGGCTTGCTCATCTATCGTCGGGACTCCGTAATGTGCAACCACCAAGCGATGGCACTCCCGCGCAAACGTGTGGCGACGAGCCCCACGCGATGGCTGTCCGGGACCTCCTTATAATCCAACACCGACTCGATCGAGCCCA